GAGATCAAGACGTACGCAGGTCGAGCTTGCCGCATCACCAAAGGGTATGTGTGTGTCTTCGTGTGCTTCAGCACGAAGGCGATCCATTTGGAAGCAACCTCTGATCTCACAATCGGTTTAATCGGTTCGTAGCAAGGCGAGGTTGCCCTCAGAAAATGTGTTCTGATAATGGGAAGACGTTTGTCGGAGCTGAAAAAGCCCTTTCCCACGATTTCCTGGTCGCCACCAGAGCATGTGTTCTTGCAGCATATCCGCAGCAGCACCTTACGTGGCGCTTTAACCCTCCAAGCGCACCTCACATGGGCGGCCTGTGGGAAGCGGGTGTGAAAAGTTTCAAGACGCTTTTCTACAAGTCTACCTCAACATGGAAGTATACTTTCGAAGAACTGTCGACCCTCCTTTCCAAAATCGAAGCGTGCTTGAAATCGCGGCCCATTTCCCCTATGTCAGAAGATCCAACTGACCTTCTAGCCCTAAGTCCAGGCCACTTTTTGATTGGCGGCCCGCTGGTTTCAATTGCGGAGCCAGAAATAAAAGAGAACGCAGAGTCCATCATCAACCGATGGCAGCGTCTAAAGGCCCTTAATCAGCAGTTCTGTTTCCGTTGGAAGGAAGAATATCTGAAAGAGTTGCACAAACGAAATAAGTGGCAACTTCCAACTCGAAACCTCCAAACAGGCGATATGGTTGTCGTAAAGGAAGATAACCTGCAGCTAAGTGAATGGCGCCTAGGAAGGATTGAACGAACCTATCCCGGGGTCGATGGCATGGTCCGCGTGGTCGATGTTTTAACTATCCGTGGGGACCATTAAGCGGCCAGTAGCAAAGCTGATCCTTCTTCCTGTAGAGAGCAATGTCCACGTCCAAGTATCCAATTAGCTAATGTGTTGTTTGTTGGCCGGTGCACAAGATCCAACCACTAATATTCCACATCTTTTCTTTCCAAGCATGACTCCTCGTCGTCGTCCATTAACGCGCAGCCAGCCCAGAGGATCGGACTGTTTTCGCTGTAGGGTCTGCCGTGGAGTCCACGCTCTACGCAAATGCCAGCGGTTCCTCACGCTAAGTGCCGAAAAGCGTTTACGGGCAGTGATCATTAATAAGTACTGCCACAATTGCCTGGCCCACCAACACTCAGGGAGCTCATGCCGAAGCGGCGACACGTGCCGGGTTTGCGGGAAGAACCACCACACTCTCCTCCACCTAGGGGGATCAGAGCGGACTCCACGTCCCAAGGCTCGCTCGACTGGGCCGAAGGCAAGCTCGCCCACAGCGAGATCGCGCTCCAGATCCGCTGCTCCTCCAACGACGCTGACATCGCTCCTTCAGTCCAGGAGCACTAGCGTCCTCCCAACAGCAGTGGTTGTGATCGACACGGGCCTCAAGACGTTCGAGGTGGGCGCTCTAATTGATCCGTGCAGTCCAGTCAGCCGCATCAACGCATCCTTGGCAACGGCCTTCGGGCTTTCCGTCACTCGCGTTGGTGCGGAAGGTGCTTGCACCACCTTTATCCTTTCTAAGGTGAAGAGCGATGTCAGGCTAGAGGTGGTCCTGACGGTGGAGCCTCAGCTCCAGATACGAACACCGACGAGACCCCTGGGAGACCACGTAAAGGAGCACTTCGCCAACATGGACCTGGCGGATGCTCAGTTCCATCGGCCATGTACCATTTCCTTGGTACTAGGAGCCGACGTCTATCCAAAAGTGATTCTGCCAGGAGTGGTCCCAAGCACGGACGGCTTCCCAGTTGCGCAGAACACGGTGTTCGGGTGGACTCTCTCTGGCACTTGCAACACCGGGTGAACAGCGAAAGGCGGCCCTTCCCCGTTCCTATTTTCCTTTGCAACTATATTGCAAGGGGGGGAGGATGTTTAAGCCGCAAAGTAGGCACCGATGCAGCCCGTAGGCTGCAGGTTTCCCGCGCATGAAAGCTTTTGGAGCGGCCTCTTCATTAAATCTAAGCTTAATCATGTGTAGTTAGTTGAAATCAGACCTTTGACTAAAGAACGACGCGCACGCGCATTATTTCCGAAAATTCTTACATCTTCTTTTTGATTTGGTTTGGGCACCTAAATCCCACGATCCAAGATAATTGAAGGAAGAGACAAGCAGGCAAGGATCTCCCACTACAAACACCGACGCACAGGAATACCTGCACTGTTCTCACCAGGATTTTCTTGAACATCTCCAAGCCACTCTGAGTCGTTCACTCGCGGTGCCGCTCTGAGCTTTCTGGAAGACTTTGCCCGTCCCCCGGCCAAAAGTGTCGTCCGCTTCTTGGTCTTGAACCGAGGCCCACGGGCAATTGTTGATGGCTGTTCCTCTTCCTGGGTGCCGCATGGCACCTGTGGGGGAATGGGCAGCGAGGATATGGCTGTCAACAGTAGCTTCTCCACCATCGGCGTCCATTCATTCAGTGCCGCTCTGAGCTTTCTGGAAGACTTTGACCGTCCCCCGGCCAAACGTGTCATCCGCTTCTTGGTCTTGAGCCGAGGCCCAAGGGCAATTGTTGATGGCTGTTCCTCTTCCTGGGTGCCGCATGGCACCTGTGAGGGAATGGGCAGCGAGGATATGGCTGTCAACAGTAGCTTCTCCACCATCGGCGTCCATTCATTCAGTGCCGCTCTGAGCTTTCTGGAAGACTTTGCCCGTCCCCCGGCCAAACGTGTCGTCCGCTTCTTGGTCTTGAACCGAGGCCCACGGGAACTTGTCGATGGCGGTTCCTCTGTCTGGGTGCCGCATGGCACCTGTGGGGGAATGGGCATAGTTCTAATGTCAATGGACCTCCCGAGCTAAAATTATTAAAATAGGCAAATAATTGCCGTAAATTCTTAAATAATTGCACACGGTGTTGTAGTGCCCTGTGCTCATCAATAAAAATTAAATTCCGGCCAATACATAGTGTTGTGCCGTGTATAAAACTGTGCCAGAAATATTGTTCGACATAACCAATTGTCGGCCAAGGAAAAAACGTGGGGAAGGCTGCAGCCGCTGCTGCACCGCCGATGCAATACACATAAAATTTATGGATCTTGGCCACGTAACGACGGGCATTCCACATCCGGAATGCACAGGGCAATGGTCATCCCGACGAACAGGAATATCTGCACTGTTCTCACCAGGATTTTCTTGAACATCTCCAAGCCCCACTCTGAGTCGTTCACTCGCGGTGCCGCGCTGAGCTTTCTGGAAGACTGCCCGCCCCGGCAAGTGTCGTCCGCTCTGGTCTGAACGCCCGGGCATGTTGTGGCTGCCTCTCCTGGGTCCCATGGCACCTGTGGGGGAGGGCACGAGGTGTGGCTGTCACGTGCCCCACCATCGGCGTCTCATCGTGCCGCGCTGGCTCTCTGGAAGACTTGCCCTCCCCGCCAACGTGTCATCCGCTTCTTGGTCTTGAACCGAGGCCCCGGCATTGTGATGGCTTCCTCTTCCTGGGTGCCCATGGCACCTGTGAGGGAATGGGCAGCGAGGATGGCTGTCAACAGTAGCTCTCCACCATCGGCGTCCTCATTCAGTGCCGCTCTGACTTCTGGAAGAAGCCCGTCCCCGCCAAAAGTGTCGTCCGCTTCTTGGTCTTGAACCGAGGCCCACGGGCAATTGTTGATGGCTGTTCCTCTTCCTGGGTGCCGCATGGCACCTGTGGGGGAATGGGCAGCGAGGATATGGCTGTCAACAGTAGCTTCTCCACCATCGGCGTCCATTCATTCAGTGCCGCTCTGAGCTATCTCCTAAACTAAAATTATCTTGAAAATTAGATTCGCTAAAGCTCTGGAAAATGTTCTACTAGATGTGTACATTTATTTTATTCAAAGCGTTGATAAAATATTTTTTAATTTTGCCACCTCTTTTCGCCTGAGTCCCCAATGTAAATACACACAGTACAAATAAATAACAACTTGAAATTTTAAAGTTTAAAACCAAAATCGACCTATTCAGGGCCGGATCAACCCTCAACCGGGCCCTGGGCAACCATCAATCTGGGGCCCTCTATTTTTTCACGACAGCTAACTTCTTTTTTCATTTGAAAGAAAAACTTTTATGTTGTTTAATTTGTATGTTTATTAGTGGCTATTATATTTTTTATTCATTCACAAAACTCAAAATTGTTTTTTCAACAAAAATTTTCTGTTAGCCCTAGGGGGCCCTAGGCAACTGCTAATCTGGCCCTGGATTCCCGTTGTCAGACATCATATTTTGTTGGTGTATTTTTTTTTTTTCAATTGTACCACATACATGGTTTGTAAAACTGATATGAGGCTCTGATTTTATTTTACCCTGCAGTACCAAAATTCATTTGTCACTCGTGATTCATTCGGTGAATCACTCGTGACAATGTCCCTGTCCTGTGGTGACTCCCTAGTGAAACTCCATATGAATTTTGTATGGGATGTCCGCCAATTCACCAGTGACACCTTCATATGACATTTTCACCGAATTCACCCTTGATTTCATGACTTGACGTATACGTATAAGACATAGGTGAAATCACAAGTGACATGTCACTTGTGGTTTCATATAGGACAATTCTGAAAATGTCCTATATGAAATCACCCGTGAAACTTCAAAGCATGTCCTATAGGAAGTCACCAGTGACTTTTCAAATTATGTACTATAGGAAGTCACCCGTGACTTTCAATATATGTCCATGGGGAAGTCACTCGTGACTCTTCAATATATGTCCATAGGGAAGTCACTCGTGACTCTTCAATATATTTCCTATGGGAAGTCACCAGTGACTTTTCAAAATATGTCTTACAGAAAGTCACATGTGACTATTTTCATGAAATTAAAAAAATGTCATCGATAATTTCATATAGGAAGCCACCTAGGCTTATCGATGGCTTATCGATGACATTTTTTTAATTTCATGAAAAGAGTCACATGTTACTTTCTTTTACAAAAACTTCATTAAAAAATCATTATATTTATTTTACGTGTCAATATTATTTTTATTTATTTCTGGTATTCTTTTTTGTTATGTTATTTTTTACATTTTGGATCGCCTTTCTTATTTGTCTATCGGCCAGTCTATTGGATTTATTTGGTCCAATGCTTCTGAAATTTTATAAAAAACAAATATTTTCTCTTTATATTTTTATGGAATTTGAACATCTGAAGGTAATATGTATTATTTTAAGGTATTTTAAGCTAACAAGTAATATATGATGTATTTAGTCTTACCTTTGAGAATCGAATACAGGCCAACTCTGCTTTTTAGCCGCTTTTTGCCGCAAGTGCCGTCTAAATTGTATGTGTTGATTGTATTCTCATTTACAACACTTTTCAGGCACTTAGAGAGGGTGCAGCTTTCCAGCATCTTCCGAACTTTATTTATCTGTAAATATGTAAAAAATTATGTTTATAAATCGTTTGAGACTATGTAAAATTTGCAAGCTCTTGCAGAAGGTATTATAATTTTAATAAGAAGTTTTTTTTTATGGTACTTACGTAGAAATCTTTTATCTGAGGAGTCAATGACTCCTCAAAGCGATCGAGCTCCTCCTCCGACTTTATTGGCAAGCTCATAGCAGCCGGGACCTCCTCCACCTTAACGCTCACTTTGATAAGGGCGGTGGCTTCTGCGAGCTTCTCCGCCATTACATCTAGTTTTTTCATAAGCACAGCATTTTGTTCACGCAGCTTCTTCATCTCTTCTAAAAATATAAAAATTTAAATAATAAATGATTTTGAAAAAGTATAATTTATAAATAAACTGATAAAAAATATGGAATGGTAAATAAACATATCTTTTCATATTGAATCAAAAGTTCCACTTTTCATTCAATATGAAAATATATGTTTATTTACCATTCCAAATTTTTAACAGTGTTGATTTGGAAACTTACCTCTCAATACGGATATCACCTCATCATTGGGTGATGGCTCCTCTGTAAAAAAAATTTTATTAACTGAGGTATTGCTTAAAGGGTATGCAAACTTACCATTGTCATTAAATGCAACACGTCTAATTTTGTTTGTGGGTTCTGACATTCTATAAATAAAAATAAAATGATAAAATAAGGTATAAAATAAATAATAATAATAATCCCTTTTTTTTTTTTTTGGCTTCGAACCATGGCAGGTGAATCTTCCAAAGATATTTAAAGCGCCGACGCAATAAATATGCCCGATTCGTAAAAAAAATTACGCCTACGGACTAAACACCTCCATTAAAAAAATATGAAACCTACGAAAAATGAAGACAGGGAACTAAAACTATTTTTCCTTTATATGGCAATGCTACGGCCTTTCTCTTAAATTCTCCTACTGAAAACCGTTGAGTGGGACTAGGAGTTTCTAAATTAACTAAATATATACCTAAGCTAGTCGACCTTAATGGCTCATCAAAAAAACATCTAATATCTGTTAACTTCCTACCTATTATATATATCTCTCCTAGTTCCTCTTCAAATGACTGTACTTGTACTGGAACCTCATCTCCAACAAAACAAAAATTATCTGGCTTCCTATCGCTAAGTGTACAGTCATTAATTTTGAGAATCCTGCCTACTAACTTTACTTCTTCCATTTCTGGAACTACATACTTTTCTTCTTCTGTTTTCCTATAAATTTGTTCTAGGATATGCGTCGGCTTTCGGACTTAAGAGTCTGCAAATAATTCTCAAACGCGTAAGAGGATCCTGAAATCGGGTTTCCGACTAGTTTAACAGTCTCTCTTACATGGAGTAAGCCGTGAACATTGTAAGACACACTGCTTTCGCCAAAAACAAGAGGAAAATTTTCAACAAATAGATTTAACATTTGTTGAGCATTCTCAACATTGTGTTCACGTTGTTTCTGCGAGCAGAGCAGTCTATAAGCACAGTGTAACAACAAAAATACATAGTACTGCTCCTCATGGATTGTATCTTTAAGAGCTACAATTCCAGTATACAATAAAAATTGTCTAAATTCAGTGCTTTTCCAGTGAGGAAGCTCTAACAATGTCCTCGGCTTTCTTGCAAACTCCCTAGGTATATAACTACGCATTGATGTTAATGTTTGGGAAATCGTACACTTGTTTTGCTTTGATATTTTACTTTTTACTTTATTATAATATATTCTATTTAAAAATTTACGCATTACACCCAATTCTACAAGATGCATGCAATCAAGGGGAACTTGGGTTATCATTAGAGCCCCAAGTTTTTCAAAAGCGGACTGAACATTTAAATAATCACTGCTATGCTGATTGGGGTACTTTCTGTTTGAAAAAGCTTCATCTGTTATTAACTCAGCACAAAAAGTGCTGTAAGTTAAAGTCGAATCCACTTTATGTGCTACCTGTAAGCATTTGGTACAGCCGTGACTGGATGTATGTCCGGGTGTGCCTGTAACAAATGCTCTTGCAGGAGCATCGCAAACAACCGCTCGAATTTCCAAGCCGACATTTTTATTTTGAATGGTAAGGCCATTTGCCTGTAAATCGGACAACTCGCTTGTGAATTTCGACAAAAATTCTGCTGAGTTAAATGGCTTATTGTGACCTGAAAAAATTCCTATCGGGAAGACCGGACATTTACTGATATTGTTTACTCTAATTAAAATGGGCCACAATTGCGAACGAGAACTTTTAAACAAGGGAAGACCGTCAACATTAACGTCAATGCTTAGTATATCGGGAAGGTTCTGAACCACCGATAATTTGTTTAATTGCTTTGATAAACCGATATGCATATAGGAGCCGCCTCCTATTTGAACTATATCAGCCTTTTCATTGCAATTAAATCTATAAAAGGGCTTCACTTTTACATTCTCCTCATTTAAAATCTTAATCAAATCTACTACGCAGCTACGCGTGGGTTTGTGCTTTACAAACCACTTCTTTAACTTAAAATTTAAGGCTTTATTCTCCTGTTCTACCTCCATGCCTTCTACATCTTCCTGATCTACTTCTACATCTTCCTGATCTACTTCTATATATTCCTGATCTACTTATATATATTCCTGATCTACTTCTATATCTTCCTGAATACAATCATTTAATACCTGTGAGCTCACTTCTACACTATTCTGACTGCCTTCGACTGACCTCAACTTTTCCCCTAGTTGATCCCTTTCCCTTTTAACTAGTCTACGAATCTGACGAGGACCAACCATTTTGGTAATTTTGCCTATATAAATATTTCTATCGAAACCTGTAAATTAAAAAATTAATTTTTTAATATTAAATAATATAAATAAGTTTGAAGTTACTTGGGTTTCACCAGGAAAAGACAAACGAAAAACAGGCAAAATAGGGTATTAGGTTGAGCCAAAGTTTTTTTTTTTGTTAATTTAAACGGAACACCCTTTAATTTTGTTATCTTGGGTTAAATTATTATATAAATGTTTTTATTTTTATTTAAAAAAAATGTTTAGAGGTTGCTACCGCGATTAAAAAGTTTAAAACAAGAAAATTGAAAAAAATTTTTTTTTATTAATCAATTTTTGCCAGCAAATATATTGCATAACCAAATATATCAACCTCAGCTTATTATTATTATTAAAATGAACTAGTGTCTAAGTTTCAATATTATTTAAAAAAAAGCGACGAATTTAAAATTATATATAACCAAAAAAGTGTATTTTCTATTCGTGGTAGCAACCCCTAAACATTACAAGTAAAAATTTTTCTCTAGAACTTTCTATGAAACGGAAAAAATTTTCAACTTTGATTGCTCATATCTCTTATGAATGAATACCGAATATTTTGAAAATTACATTTTCGAAAGCTCTGGAAAATATAGATGAGTTTATTCATTTTATCCAAAGCGCTCATTAAATTCTTTGACTTTTGTCACCCCCCTTCCGCTGAGGCTCCTATGTGCGACGCACTCGGCTAACACATTTCTAGAATGTTCTAGACGTATTTTGTGTTGCATTCTGCTTTCTGCATTTTAGATTTTATTAAAACCCAAGAAACACTTAAACTTATGTAGAAACGCGCACTGTTTTCAATTAGTTCACTTACCTGAATTAGTTAATCGTTAAACCTGCAAAAAAACACTTTTTTTATACCCGTACTCAAAAAAGAGTTAAGGGGTATATTAGATTTGTGGTAAAAGTGGATGTGTGTAACGCAGAGAAGGAAAATTTTCCGACCCCATAAAGTATATATATTCTTGATCAGCATCAATAGCCGAGTCGTTATAGCCATGTCTGTCTGTCCGTCCGTCCGTCCGTCCGTCCGTCTGTCCGTCTGTCCGTCTCGATGAGCGCCTGGATCTCAGAGACTATAAAAGCTAGCGAAACCAAATTTGGTTTCCAGACTTATGTGATATCACACTGCTACAAGTGTATTTCAAAATTTCGCCCCGCCCCCTTCCGCCCCCACAAAGGACAAAAATCTGTGGCAGGCACAATTTTAAAGATACGATAAAACTAAAAACGCAGTATCGTAGAGAATGCCCATATCTACCAGATTGCCGAATCTGAATCAGATCGGATCATAATTATAGCCAGAATGAAGAAATTAATTTTCAGTTGCTTCCCCTCCACCCTCCCCCTCCCACCAACGACAACGCATCTCATTTTCCTTCTCGCTCGCACATTCTGCCGCGTTCAGTGCGCGAGCAACCCCTAGCGGAGGAGATGTAGAATCTAATTGGAACATGTACAATCTACATGTTAGATGTAGAATATACATTGTATTTGTAGATGTAGATATCATATGTAGCAAAAATTCTTAAAAATGATAAGCTCAAAAATGTATATACTGACTGAGTACGGGTATAAGTAGAGTCGCGTCCCCAGAAGCGACTCACACGTTCCTTCTCGTTTAAAACTCGGACGGAGACAAAACACCCCAGCCAGACGCAACGAAAAACTAATTGTCTTTCCTTACCGCTTTGCTACTGTTTCTTTTGTTTCATCTCCTCTTGACGCGTGTCATTTTCATCTCCTTTTTGACGCGTACCCTTTCGATTGTGATACATATCCGACTATAAGTTACTTTTGTCTCTGACCAGCGAAATAATATGGACATAAATAAATAGAATTTAGTAAACTAATTTTTACATAGTTATATAAGTCTATTATATAATCATGGTTACAATTAAATTATGGTAGTACCTATATATAAAATTAGTTTGTTTAAATGATATCGCTACTATTATTATATAATAGACTTTAATAACAATGTACTTTTTATTAGGCTTCCAAATAATAATAATAATAAGGCTATTGATATAAATTATTGAAGTAAATAATTGCGCTCAAAGTTTAAGAGTATAAAAAAGTAGGTGCGCCATTAAATATTTTTCGGTACTGCTTTTTACCAAAAATATGCTTTTGACTCTGGCATAATGGAACAGTGAGAACAAAGAGTGAGAAGGGGCGAGAGTAGAAGAGTGAGAGTCGAACGAAGGCACCCAAAAATTAGAAGTAAGAGGGAGAGGGAAATCTATGGATATCTGCTTCTCTTTCTTACACATCCGTTTCGGTTAGCAGCAGTGAAGCTTGGAAAAATTCTCTGCTGACGTCGACGTCGTCAACGGCAGCGAAGTCGACGTCGAAAAATTTTTCATATGAATTTTTTCATGAGGTGACTGCCAGAACTGCAGGTTTAGTTGGAATTTACAACTCAACTCGTAAATGTCTAGGGTTTTCTTTTAAGGCCTTAACAACATCCATAATTCGACACTTATATAGATGTTATACACAGCTTTTCGATTTTTTTTCCACGAGGTGTTCATGGAAAATCGTATCAATGATCATTATAATAATGCCCAAGGATACCTTAATCTTTCACGAAATTCGGTCTGCAACGAAAGACGTCCAACGATTGAATTCGCGATTCCCAATTTTGTAAATTAGCAATTTATGGTGCTTCATCAATAAAAGTTGAACTAAGCTGATCTAAGCATTCATGGCTTAAAAATCCACCTCAAATACGGTAGAAAATCATGACAGATTTGATTTATCGTTAATTGACATCAAACGTGGTCGTACATGAAAAAGTTGTATGTAGGATTATTCCATAAAAGTCCAAACTTTTTTATGCAAATTAACAAATGGTCCTAAAATAGCGAAAAAATCCGAGTATTAATGCGTTTTTGAACTACTATAAATGTAATTTTTATACGACTACCGCAAACAGATGCAAATTGCGGAATTTCGAAACTAGAGCACGTACTTAGTTGGCCATCTCCAACGCCATCTCTGTAAATAATTACACCATCTGGTAGACATCCATTTCGTTTTTTGTATATTTGAAGCGCCGCTTCAAAAGATGAAGTTAATCCATTAACAATTTCTTCACTCTTTGTTTGTACGACAGCTTTGCTATACCATTGTGTATATGAAGCATTAAGAGAGGCAACAAAAGCAGCAACAGAATTTCCTCTATTAGACGGGTCGTGATACGAATCAATACCACAAATCATTACGTTTTTAAAAGGAATTTTAACCGTCCATAATGAGCCTCCCATTTTACAGTTCATTTGTAAAATAACTTTTTGCACAATTGATCTGTTTTTTGATTCATTGCACAATGTCTTGGCATTTATGACCTGTGATGGTACAGGTAACTCTGAGCAACAAATTTTTTTTATGGCAGAGTACCTGTCATCTCTATTATTTGGGCATAAGTCTATTATAAGTCTATTATATAATCATGGTTACAATTAAATTATGGTAGTACCTATATATAAAATTAGTTTGTTTAAATGATATCGCTACTATTATTATATAATAGACTTTAATAACAATGTACTTTTTATTAGGCTACCAAATAATAATAATAATAAGGCTATTGATATAAATTATTGAAGTAAATAATTGCGCTCAAAGTTTAAGAGTATAAAAAAGTAGGTGCGCCATTAAATATTTTTCGGTACTGCTTTTTACCAAAAATATGCTTTTGACTCTGGCATAATGGAACAGTGAGAACAAAGAGTGAGAAGGGGCGAGAGTAGAAGAGTGAGAGTCGAACGAAGGCACCCCAAAAATTAGAAGTAAAAGAGGAGAGGGAAATCTATGGATATCTGCTTCTCTTTCTTACACATCCGTTTCGGTTAGCAGCAGTGAAGCTTGGAAAAATTCTTGCTGACGTCGACGTCGTCAACGGCAGCGAAGTCGACGTTGAAAAATTTTTCATATGAATTTTTTCATGAGGTGACTGCCAGAACTGCAGGTTTAGTTGGAATTCACAACTCAACTCGTAAATGTCTAGGGTTTTCTTTTAAGGCTTAACAACATCCATAATTCGACACTTATATAGATGTTATACACAGCTTTTCGATTTTTTTTCCACGAGGTGTTCATGGAAAATCGTATCAATGATCATTATAATAATGCCCAAGGATACCTTAATCTTTCACGAAATTCGGTCTGCAACGAAAGACGTCCAACGATTGAATTCGCGATTCCCAATTTTGTAAATTAGCAATTTATGGTGCTTCATCAATAAAAGTTGAACTAAGCTGATCTAAGCATTCATGGCTTAAAAATCCACCTCAAATACGGTAGAAAATCATGACAGATTTGATTTATCGTTAATTGACATCAAACGTGGTCGTACATGAAAAAGTTGTATGTAGGATTATTCCATAAAAGTCCAAACTTTTTTATGCAAATTAACAAATGGTTGCTAAAATAGCGAAAAAATCCGAGTATTAATGCGTTTTTGAACTACTATAAATGTAATTTTTATACGACTACCGCAAACAGATGCAAATTGCGGAATTTCGAAACTAGAGCACGTACTTAGTTGGCCATCTCCAACGCCATCTCTGTAAATAATTACACCATCTGGTAGACATCCATTTCGTTTTTTGTATATTTGAAGCGCCGCTTCAAAAGATGAAGTTAATCCATTAACAATTTCTTCACTCTTTGTTTGTACGACAGCTTTGCTATACCATTGTGTATATGAAGCATTAAGAGAGGCAACAAAAGCAGCAACAGAATTTCCTCTATTAGACGGGTCGTGATACGAATCAATACCACAAATCATTACGTTTTTAAAAGGAATTTTAACCGTCCATAATGAGCCTCCCATTTTACAGTTCATTTGTAAAATAACTTTTTGCACAATTGATCTGTTTTTTGATTCATTGCACAATGTCTTGGCATTTATGACCTGTGATGGTACAGGTAACTCTGAGCAACAAATTTTTTTTATGGCAGAGTACCTGTCATCTCTATTATTTGGGCATATACAGACAACAATTTGCGTTTCCATTGCAATATTCCGACGTAAAGCGTCGATAAAGGCATCAATACGATCATGATCTAAAGAAATGATCGTTGGTTTGGAAATACTCATTCCGAGTGATCGACAACACTGTTTCATATTATCCAGTAACGATTTAGCGGCTCGTAAATCAGTTTTAAAATGAATTATTATCCAATTGTTTAGGTGAATGGCTTCCAACATTTCATTTTTAACAGCCTCTTTGGAAAACTCAGCATTTTGTCCGGCTGAAACAACTTTTTTAGCAAAATAAATTTGTTCCGAATCCAACTGGCGACCTTTCAGATTGTTGTAGTTTCTAAAAAGCGCGAGTCCCCAACGGTCAAGAATTTCTCGTGCTGCTGGAGTGTTGGAAACATTATCGTTGAACTTATCGAGTGCTAGTTTCCTTTGATTTGGAGTAACTCTTGTATACGTAGCAATTTCACGCATAAGCTTTGTTCGGCTAAGCGCCGGCCCATGGCAGCACAAAGAGTAGTTGATCATCTCTTAATCTAATGTCTCTCTTTATAACCGTTTGTTTGCTTGTACTTATGCTCTTGCTGGTGCGTTGCTCTTTCTCGGCGTTAGTCAGCCGCTGTGGGGGAGGCTCATCAGAAAAAGCAGAACACACTTCAAATTCGATCATCACCGTAGTAAAACGTTTGGCTGTCTGGCACAGTGACCTGCCTGCCACAAAGTTCTAAACTAACCCTAACATAAACATATCAACTTCAACAGTCTTGAACCGGCCCCCGCGTCTTCAATCGACCCATCATTAACTCTCGTCATTAAATTCGCACACCTTTCGCTTAACTTAAGTAAAATAAATTGTGAATATATTAACTGAACAATCATCGCCTTTTTAATAATATCGCAATACAACGCTACTGAAGAAGCTCAGTAGCTCATCAGAACGAACTTCTTCACGAAGCCCTGTGAGATAGCAGAGTTCAGGAATTAAACGAAATTCAATATTATCTGTATCCTCTGGTGTTCCTCGTGTTTTTTTTATGCTCAAAAGTAATGGTTGATTAATATCTTTAATGTTTATATTATGGTATTTTTTATAATATTGTAAATAGCTTGTAGGTCCACTTTTTGTGTGAAATATAGATTGGGGACTTTGGTCGAAACAAACTTCGCTTATTTTATAAGTGCGATTATTATATCTTGTTAAAACAATATTTCCAATTGAAGCGTCAAAACGAAAATTGAACGAGCATTTTGCTCCTCGTGCAAAGGTATTGTATAGTCTTTGGTATTGGACTGCGGGCTGTAGTGGTCGCACGTCCGATCGCTATGGCTCCACAGCTAAAAAAAATCTAGGTGTTCACGCTCCAAGCTCTAAAAGCGGACTCTAGATAGGGGTGGGTGTGGAATCAACACTGTGGATCTGTATCAGCTAACGTTAGACTCGACATACTACTACAGAGGGAGATAGTTCTACAGACAGACAAATGGATCACGTATTGCCACCGCAGCATGCCCCCCCCCGCTCCGCTTATATAGCGAAAAACATTGAAAACAATTTCAAATCGAACGGAAACCTGGCCCAAAGTCAAATAAGAAGTCCAATGCTTCTTCTTCAACTCCATCTTGACCTGAACCAGCAGGTTCAGGGGAGCCAGTCTACGTCACGGTAAGGTTGATTTTATTGCTGTTCAATACAATACTTAGCATTATAAACAATTTATTGGGGCTGCTATTCTACTTAATTTTTTTGTTTCCGCTGCCTGCTGACCGCAGTTTTTCAGTCATAGGCAGCGCATACTCCATTTCGCAGGCAAAAACTAGTCAACACGATTTTTCCTCAAGGAACAAAACGAACTTTTTCTTAAAGATTTGGGGCTTACAAATGGTTTGATGATATTTTTTTTTCTATGGCAGAACTTTTTTTTAAGCAATTTTTTAAAACTGGTATTTTTTTTTAACCTTTTTTCAGAGGTAGCGATTTTTTTTTCCATAACCCTAGTATCTTACGTCTGGTTGTAAAGAACTTTGCTATTTTGAAAAGATAATTAAAACAGCTAGAAGTTGAGCCCAAACACTTTGTGATTTCAGCTTACCGTCTGGGAAATACAAAAATGATGATTTTTGTGCGGTATTTTTTACGAAATTTTAACTTTAAAAACTCAGGAAAAGTCGAAAAAAAATTTTAACTTTAAAAACTTAGGAAAAGTCGAAAAAAAATTATATCTGTGTCCTCTATTTTTTTCGTGTATAGGTGCATTTACGGTATCGTTGTTTACGGTATCGCTCATTTAAATCTATGGAGAGACTTTGGAGCTAAAATTCATTAACCAAACCTAAAATATGGAAAAAATGAACAAAAAATACCTTTTGGATGGTTGCGAGCCCAACTGCCCATTGGGAACAAAGGAACGCGATCAGGTACCAAATGTACAACCCTTTTTCGTTTGCTTTGTTTGCACAGGGCAATGGTCATCTCGACGAACAGGAATACCTGCACTGTTCTCACCAGGATTTTCTTGAACATCTCCAAGCCCCACTGTGAGTCGTTCACTCGCGGTGCCGCGCTGAGCTTTCTGGAAGACTTTGCCCGTCCCCCGGCAAAAAGTGTCGTCCGCTTCTTGGTCTTGAACCGAGGCCCACGGGCAATTGTTGATGGCTGTTCCTCTTCCTGGGTGCCGCATGGCACCTGTGGGGGAATGGGCAGCGAAGATATGGCTGTCAACAGTTGCTTCTCCACCATCGGCGTCCATTCATTCAGTGCCGCTCTGAGCTTTCTGGAAGACTTTGCCCGTCCCCCGGCCAAACGTGTCATCCGCTTCTTGGTCTTGAACCGAGGCCCACGGGCAATTGTTGATGGCTGTTCCTCTTCCTGGGTGCCGCATGGCACCTGTGGGGAATGCGCAGCGAGGATATGGCTGTCAACAGTAGCTTCTCCACCATCGGCGTGCATTCATTCAGTGCCGCTCTGAGCTTTCTGGAAGATTTTGCCCGTCCCCCGGCCAAACGTGTCATCCGCTTCTTGGTCTTGAAGTGTCGAAATGGGACGTAAACCGGGTCCAAAATCGAAAACAACCAAGAAGAAAGCAGAGAATGCTAACTCAAGTGCTTCTAGCACGGATAATGAAGGTATTGACTACCACAATTTGGATTTCTGCATTTCCCCTAGCCTTTTCATGAACCCCCCGTAAGATTCTGACCCGCTGACCCAAACTGGTCATGAGGACCTATCAAACTGCCCTCGCGCAATGAGAAGATCGGTTTCGATGGCCGACTTAATGAATGACATCGACATGCCCACTACTTCTACTGCAAAAGTGACAATAAATGTTCTGATTGCTGCTGCAGCAGATGCTCCTCTTGGGCCTGCTGTTCCTGCGGCTAGGTCAAGCGCCCGGAAGATGACCTCCCCTGGTGTTGCCTGTACTGCTGCCCGTGCTACTGTCCCTGCTGCCCCCAATGCTGCCCGTACTGATGCCCCTTGCTCTACCACTCCTAGTACCCGTACTATCGCTGCTTCATCAAATTCGTTAAGGCAGCAGACCCTGATTGAGCTGATCAAGGATCAGCAGGAAAAAATGGCTGTTGAGAAGAGGCTAAGTGCCAAGCTGAGGGCAGAGTCCGAAGCCCGGAACAAGAAAAGGACGGGCGAGCGGAGTCTAGGCTAGAAAGGGAAGCGTTCTACTAGGGGGCTGAAGCCAACCGCGAAGAAAGCGGCCACTATCAAGGCTACGTACCGGACCCGATCGAATGATCTTTCAGTTCTAACAACTTCTTCGAGATACTATCGGACAATGAATCGATGGCTATGGATGACTGCAGCGTGGGAGATTCGGAGCTGGAGGTACCTGCCCCCAACAACAGGCCCTCTGCAGCTACCGGATCTGCCTCGTGCTACACAGCAATGTCGGCCAAATGCTAATATTGCTAATCTTAATGCTACGAACAGTTTCTAATGTTAATGGACCTCCTGAGCTAAAATTATTAAAGTAGGCAAATAATTGTCGTAAATTCTTAAATAATTGCATATGGTGTTGAGTGCCTGTGTTCATCAATAAAAATTAAATTCCGGCCAATACATAGTGTTGTGCCGTGTATAAAACTGTGCCAGAAAATATTGTTCGACATAACCAATTGTCGGCCAAGGAAAAATGGGGGAAGGCTGCAGCCGCTGCTGCACCGCCGATTCAATACACATAAAATTTATGGATCTTGGCCACGTAACGACGGGCATTCCACATCCGGAATGTACAGGGCAATGGTCATCCCGACGAACAGGAATATCTGCACTGTTCTCACCAGGATTTTCTTGAACATCTCCAAGCTCGACTCTGAGTCGTTCACTCGCGGTGCCGCGCTGAGCTTTCTGGAAGAGTTGCCCGTCCCTCGGCCAAAAGTGTCGTCCGCTTCTTGGTCTTGAACCGAGGCCCACGGGCATTGTTGATGGCTGTTCCTCTTCCTGGGTGCCGCATGGCACCTGTGGGGGAATGGGCAGCGAGGATATGGCTGTCAACAGTAGCTTCTCCACCATCGGCGACCATTCATTCAGTGCCGCTCTGAGCTTTCTGGAAGCTTTATACGACTACCGCAAACAGATGCAAATTGCGGAATTTCGAAACTAGAGCACGTACTTAGTTGGCCATCTCCAAGCCAATCTCTGTAAATAATTACACCATCTGGTAGACATCCATTTCGAATACGAATAGTTCTAATGTTAATGGACCTCCCGAGCTAAAATTATTAAAATAGGCAAATAATTGCCGTAAATTCTTAAAATAATTGCACATGGTGTTGTAGTGCCCTGTGCTCATCAATAAAAATTTAATTCCGGCCAATACATAGTGTTGTGCCGTGTATAAAACTGTGCCAGAAATATTGTTCGACATAACCAATTGTCGGCCAAGGAAAAAACGTGGGGAGGGCTGCAGCCGCTGCTGCACTGCCGATTCAATACACATAAAATTTACGGATTTCTGCCACGTAATGACGGGCATTCCACATCCGGAATGCACAGGTAATGGTCATCCCGACGAACAGGAATACCTGCACTGTCTCACCAGGATTTTCTTGAACATTTCCAAGCCCCACTCTGAGTCGTTCACTCGCGGTGCCGCGCTGAGCTTTCTGGAAGAATTTGCCCGTCCCCGCCAAAAGTGTCGTCCGCTTCTTGGCTTGAACCGAGGCCCACGGGGCAATTCTTGATGGCTGTTCCTCTTCCTGGGTGCCGCATGGCACCTGTGGAGGAATGGGCAGCGAGGATATGGCTGTCAACAGTAGCTTCTCCACCATCGGCGACCATTCATTCAGTGCCGCTCTGAGCTTTCTGGAAGACTTTGCCCGTCTCTGCCAAACGTGTCATCCGCTTCTTGGCTTGAAGTGTCGAAATGGGACGTAAACCGGGTCCAAATCGAAAACAACCAAGAAGAAAGCAGAGAATGCTAACTCAAGTGCTTCTAGCACGGATAATGAAGGTATTGACTACCACAATTTGGATTTCTGCATTTCCCTAGCCTTTTCATGAACCCCCCGCAAGATTCTGACCCGCTGACCCAAACTGGTCATGAGGACCTATCAAACTGCCCTCGCGCAATGAGAAGATCGGTTTCGATGGCCGACTTAATGAATGACATCGACATGCCCACTACTTCTACTGCAAAAGTGACAATAAATGTTCTGATTGCCGCTGCAGCAGATGCTCCTCTTGGGCCTGCTGTTCTGCGGCCAGTTCAAGCACCTGGAAGATGACCTCCCCTGGTGTTGCCTGTACTGCTGCCCGTGTTACTGTCCCTGCTGATAGCCGTGCTGCTGCCCCCAATGCTGTCCGTACTGATGCCCTCGCTCTACCACTGCTAGTACCCGTACTATCGCTGCTTCATCAAATTCGTTGAGGCAGCAGACCTGATTGAGCTGATCAAGGATCAGCAGGAAAAAAATGGCTGTTGAGAAGAGGCTAAGTGCCAAGCTGAGGGCAGAGTCCGAAGCCCGGAACAAGAAAAGGACGGGCGAGCGGAGTCTGAGGCTAGAAAGGGAAGCGTTCTGCTACCCAGGGATCCTGCTATAGTGAAGCCAACCGCGAAGAAAGCGGCCACTATCAAGGCTACGTACCGGACCCGATCGAAGACTAACGTTGCCTCGATCCCCAGTTCTAAGACTTCTTTGAGATACTATCGGACAATGAATCGATGGCTATGGATGACTGCAGCGTGGGAGATTCGGAGCTGGAGGTACCTGCCCCCAACAACAGGCCCTCTGCAGCTACCGGATCTGCCTCTGGGTAGCAATGCTGGGCCAAAATGCTAATATTGCTAATCTTAATGCTACGAATAGTTCTAATGGACCTCCTGAGCTAAAATTATTAAAAGTAGGCAAATAATTGCCGTAAATTCTTAAAATAATTGCACATGGTGTTGGTAGTGCCCTGTTGCTCATCAATAAAAATTAAATTCCGGCCAATACATAGTGTTGTGCCGTGTATAAAACTGTGCCAGAAAATTGTTTGACATAACCAATTGTCGGCCAAGGAAAATGTGGGGAAGGCTGCAAGCCGCTGCTGCACTGCCGATTCAATACACATAAAATTTATGGATCTTGGCCACGTAACGACGGGCATTCCACATCCGGATGT